GGACACCGTGTACAAGAGGATCCGGTATGTGTAAAACAGAAGTGGACATTGTGAATCGTCTATTTATTCACTAGAAAGCTGCAAAAGAGTTGTGAGACATGTTTTCGACTTATTTGATATCAGGGAGACATACTTGAATCCCTAAAAGTTGTCTATAACAGCTTACTAGAAGGAAAAGAGGGAGCTCAGTTGCAAGATATAGAGAACCATACCAGCATGTATTCTATGGACACAAACACAATGGTGGAGAAAGGAATCAAGAATGTCCCGTAAGTGTTTACACTCCAAAGATAGATTGAAAGATAGATGTCGATTTAATCTAACTTGCCACTGCAATTCAAAGTTTATAAATGATGTAATGCCTGGGCTTTATATCCCTTCATTTTTGAGGGGCTAGAGGGGTGCTTTTATACTCATTGCATCCTCTGAATCTCCCATAACAGATTTTTTATTATATTATAAAAAGGCAACAGAATAATATGAATCAACCTGGCATACCATCTAGATACCTAGAAGCAGCTTTGCACAGCCATGAACAGCTGCTAAAATAGTCTTGAGATAAAATATATGCTTGGGAGCATTCATTTTAGAAAAATCTCAATCAGCAACGAAATATTAGACCAGCACCCAAGAGACTGATGGAGGGTGCACCATTACAGTATTACCTTTTTTGCCGTAGCTTCAGCTTCCGTCCAAACACCATCGACATGCTTGTAAAGCTGCTCAGTTGTCTGCTTCGTTCTGCATTTGCCAGTTCACCATTTCAGGGTCCCCATTGGTAGTTCTGCCAGCCTTGACATACAACAGTATGTCTCAGCCCCTTAAAGAAAAGGCTAAAACCTTTTAAAATTACATTTAAAGGAAATCTAAAAGGCACCTTGTTTTAAGATCTTCTTTCACCCCTTTTAACTCCTCTGCTTTCTCCTTCAACACCTTGACTGACTGTTGGAATTCTTGATTACTGCAGCAATAAGCATTGAGGAATAAACCCAATGACACCCTCAACAAAGTCTTAGAAGTAAATAGATGGAGAGCGCGACACTGACAACTAGAAACTTGATAATCATAAAATTGAGAAATACAACTAGTGGATTTCATAGGAGCTTTGTAAGTAGTCCTGTTTTTTTGTTGGTTTTTCTATGTAACTAACACTTTTGGAGGTGGCCAGCATAGCCCTTAATGCTGAGGAATACAATGTTACCAATTTCAAAAAAAAAAATTGAGAAATAGTTGTATTCTCTACCATCTCACTTCAAAAGATAACAACATGTCCCCATATCACCCACTCCGAAGGAAAAAAAGAAATGCTCAGAATCAGGTTCCTCATACTGCATTTCGACAAATCTCGCCAACTAATGAATGTAAGGTAGCCATTTCTGTTGAGGATTTTAAGGATAAAGATGTAGTAATCAATGATTAGAAATGTTGAATGCAAGTTAAGTTGAGTGGAAGACATAACCCGCCTAAGAGTGAAATAACATATTTGAAAAAACTACATTGTCTAGCATTTCCACATACCTGTGTGTGTCCCCTTTTCGTATGACAAGTGTGGACATAGGATAAAATGATAAGGAATCTTCTCTAGGAAGAAAAACATTGCCACAAGCAATATCATTTCATGGAGAAAAAGAAACTAATATCTGTTTAGAGTGGTCTAAGGGTCAGGAAACTATTGTATCTAATATGGCCATGTACACAAATGGTGGTAGAGATAAACACAAAAAGAGATGAATTATGAAGAAAGTAATAGTTGCTAAATATGCGACATGAATGAATGGTTTTCAGATGAAGTAACTAGCCATTTAATGAGCGCATCTGCGAAAAGGGATTATGAAGAAAAAGATGGCTTCCTTAGATTCATTGACTTCGTCACTGGGAATGGAAAATTTTGGTTGGATATGTGGCATGAAGATGCAATCTATGATCACCGGTGTTAGCTATTGCTCATAATAGGAATGCAATTATGGGCTTGTAGCTAACATGACCATAGAAATCATTCAAGGGAATATCATGGGAATTTAGCTTTTCAGGAGCTATTCAGATTGAGTATCTGACAAGTGGAACATGAGAAGGGTAGGATGGCATAAAGACGGTTAGTGTGTGTACATTGTCATTAAAATCTTATTCCTACGGTCTAATTAATTGAGAAGAAAAGAAGACATCGTAAAAGGAGATTCTCATACAAAGGAACCCAAGAAAGTTGCTCCTTTTACTTGGGTGTGTCGCGGAATGAAATCCTTATGAAGACAATCCGATAAAGAATAAATGCATTTACTTAAGTGGGAGATTTAAGTGCAGAGGGTGCAAGCATATGTTGATTCACTTTCTGTTACACTATAGAGCAGGCAGCTTCATAGTTTTGGGAAAGGGAATTCTCTCAATGTGACATTGATTGAGAATCCCAAAGATAGTTTAGAGGCTATGGACAGATGAAGGCTAAAGAAGCTTGCAACCATGTGTCCATCATGTCCATCAAAGGAACTGGAGGATTTTTCAAGGCAATTAGAAAATACTTAAGATATACAATATCTCGTTTTTATTTCATATATACTTTGGCTTAACTAATTCTTTTGTATATATAGTTTGGTAGGCTTTAAGGGGATCTTTTGCGCATCTTCACCAACTAATGAAATGAAATCAAGCCCAGCGTTGATCACAAAATTAGATACAAAGGGAACTTCAAATTCAAATAATAAAATTCCCTAGCTGGTACAAAATCCCTTTTTCTTCTTTAATACCAATATCCAAGAAAGTAAAAAAAGCAATAGAGAAAGAGCAAATACCTATCTACTTCGCCTTTAACTTTCTTGGAGAACTCATTGAATACACCGAAATGACGAATACCCAGATACCCATCTGCTCCAACAAACCTCAAATTTGTTGCAACTCTACCAGAAACCACCTAATGCAAACATAAAAAAAATTTAAAAAAATTACAAATTATAAACAATAACAATTAAGCACAAATTCAATAAAGAAGAAAAACAACAACAACACAGACAAGAACCTGTTGCGGTGCTAATATTCGGCGGAAAACAGGTTGTTTGGAGATAAACAAGTCCCGCACAATCTTTCTGCTGGTCATTCCGAGCCCTTTTGCTGATTTAATGAAGAAGAAATGCAGATTTTCTTGTGTCTTTTACCTTCTGGTGAAGAAGAAAACGAAGGTCTGTAGTAAGCCCTTCTTCTTTCCGTTCCTGCCCTAATGTTAGAAGACTTGTTTGGGCCGCACGATAAACCCCAGTAGTAGTACACAGTACACAGTATTATAGAGTATCATTTTTCCAAACTAAAAATAACTCAATAGCATTTCAATGTATTACTATTTTAATTTAAATTATGGGAGTACACATTCAATTTGATAGCTGATTAGAGTTATGCAAATACTGAAATAAGTCATGAAAATATTTACGTATGTCTTAGTTATTTTATTTTTTATCTTGTATGAAATATATTGTAATATATAAATTTTATCATATCTTATAGTATATGATTAGCTAGTTATATGAGTTTCTAAATTGCAAAACAAACATTATACTAGGTGTATACATGAATAGCTTACCTCTTAATCAATTGTTAATTTGATGTTACTTATATAATTTTATGTATACGTAACTCACCTCCAAATTAGTTATCAAATGAACCCTATTAGTATAAAGATCATAGAAAATGTTTAAATTAAATACCTTCTGATGGTATACGGGCTTAAAAGGCAGAAATCTCATTATCTATTGTCATAAGAAATTTCAACCGTTGAAAAGAATATTTTTACGAAGTAAACTTACAAGTTGATTTACAAAGATAAATATTGTTGGTGATCTAGCAGATAAAAAGAAATGGACAGAATAGTTATAGTTCCAATACTCTTTAACATTCTATAAATTCTTTTCAATTTTGGAGAAAAAAAATGACACGTGTACATCAATTTCTAGACTAAATAATTGTCGTGCAACGAAAAAACTACACATAATTGTTGTGCAAGACAAGTGTTTTTCAATTTCCGATTTTCCCATATTTATTGGTCAACAAATTTAAAATATATATATATTCTATAAAAAAACAAGTCCCTTAAAAATAAGAAAATTACTAAGTAATAAAGTAAAGATAGGAAAAATAAGTTCGACGAATGATATTTGACATTTACTACGTCTTTCCCACACCGTGCAACACATGTCATCCTCACCCCACCCCTCGTAGCCCCCATCCGGCTATCCCTGCCACCCCAACTTACAATCTATATTATTTGTCCAAATTATATACATATATTTTTCATCTACGTATTGAATACAAGAAAATAAATACTACAAATTTCACTTATTTTTTTGTAAGATATTTTCTAAGAAGACATTTTTGATCGTTGCTTCAAATACATGACCTCATAAAAGGAAATCTTTAAGAGACTCAGAAAAGAAGAAGAGAGTTTAGTATACACAGGTTGATTATGCAAAGCCTTGCATCAACTGCAAAGAAAGCATGACATAGTAGAGACTAGTAAAAGTATTGTTTACATGATTATAACTAAATACGTCTGGTTTCCAAATTCCCACGGGCCACGGGCAGCATAAATCTTGTGTCCTCCCCTCACAGACAGCCCTCCCAATCATAACAAACTTAAACTCTCCCAAACTGCCCACAAAATCTTGTAGGTTTAGCCTTCAAACTGTTGACGTGTGATATTATGTAATGATGGAAAATAAGTATTTATTTAAATAATATAGTACTATCATATTACGTTATGAAACAATACGTAACAACAATCCAAACAGAAAAGTGAACATATGCACAACACTCTCTTTGCACGTGCCCCTCACACCCAAGAAGTATTACATTCCTCTTTTCACCTCCCCCATTCTCAAGTACTCTCACCAACCTTAACGTCTTTACCTTTGCCAACCCTTCACGAGAGTTACGTGCCTTTCTTCATTCCTTTTCTTATAAACACCCTTTCTCTTCTAATTACATCTTAATAAACTACATTCTCACTTTCCCTTTAACAAAAGCCACCACATGGATGAGCCATCAAGTGATGGCGACCGGCATAAGGGCCCTGGAAAGCGTGTTTCAGGGGCCGTGGAGCAGCAAGCCTCAGGCGTTCTTCTAGCTTCCACGGCCCCTTGTGGTGCATGCAAGTTCTTGAGAAGAAAATGCATCAATGGGTGCGTTTTCGCTCCCTACTTTGGCTCCGACCAAGGCGCGGCTCGGTTTGCAGCCGTGCACAAGGTGTTTGGAGCCAGCAATGTGTCTAAGCTATTGTTGCACATTCCGGCTAACCGGCGGCAAGACGCGGTGGTCACTATTACTTATGAAGCTCAAGCTAGGCTCTCGGATCCTGTTTATGGTTGTGTCTCAACCATTCTTGCTTTGCAACAACAGGTAAAAAAATGTCTAGAATATTCTTCGTCGAAAAATTATATATGCTCATCTAATATACAATTTTTTATGCATAGATGATATTTGATTCTTAAATACCCTTAGTTAAATCCTAGCTATGCCTTGGTGAATATTAGTAGTAGTAATATTTTAAACTACTAAGCATAATTTTTTAATTAATAAAACAAGGTTGATGAATGGAGTTAAAATTGATGTCATTTTCAACACCAATTAAGCTGAATAAGTGAGATAGGTTGAGGTTTTTGAGTCTTTATGTGATATAATATAATGCACATAATTTTAATAGGAAAAAAAAATTCTAAAAAGTTGAACTACGAAATCATTAATTATTACCTAAAAGATAAATAGAGATAACTGATCGATGCAGTAAAAATATATAATAATCTAGAAAATAAAGTAGACTATCTCATACCGCGAATTAAAATACAATATTAGACTAACATGAGCTAGTACATTTATTTTTTTTGTAGGTGGCATCCTTACAATCAGAGCTAGCAATAGTGCAGACACAGATAATGAACAGCAGATATGCAATGGCAAATGCCTATCACAATATTTCACAACAACAAGAACAACACATTGCAATTCTACAGCCAAGTTACTCAAACAATTCATCTATTTCAAACAACAATATTAACCTCGTCAACAATTTCAATAACTCCACTACTAATATTTTTGATCATCATCATCAACTGCATGGATCAGTTACCTGTACTGCTAATAACTCTCCAAGTTGTGACCCAATTCATCAACTCCATGATGAGGAAGAGGAGGAAGAAGAAAGCCATAATCCACTTGCTTTTACTAATCACATGTTTCATTCCCTATGAAGTAATATCACACTACACCTTTAATTTTACGAATAATTGAGCTGTTTTAATTACCATTTATGTTTATAGAAAAAGTTATCTATATATAATAGTAAATATTTCACTCCTTACTTTTACTTTCACTTTCAGCTTCCCCTAATATTGAATTCACGATATTCATAATAAATTCATTTGAACTCAATACTTTCAACGCAGAGTATAAACTTATGGATAAAAATTTATGAAAATTGCAAAAAATGGCAGATAAAACTCATATACCTTTAAGAATACAATGAGTACCTCAACGCATAGAACTATAAAAATTTGAATTCGTAATTCTTAAATCCTAAATCCACGTATGTCTGTATTATCATATCATTTTTAAATTTTGAAACAAGTAACATAATTTAATTATTTTCAAAATTTTAAACCCACATTTTGAAAAAGGTTGACATGTAAATGTCTTCTAATTAAAAGAATGTTTAACACTGACAGAATATTATATATTAACTTAAGGTAGAACTTCACTTTTTAAAATTACTGTTGTGTTTTAGCACGAAAGTAATGAGGGGTGGAACATATTTCATGCTCCTATGCAAATAAAAGAAGACTCTTGTATATATATATTAAAAATTATTGAATAGAACAAGTGGTCGAATCATAAGGTAACGCGTGATAAATATATATGGGAACATATTAGTTTTGACTTAGCAAAGACGACATATGGAATCTAACATATGAGCATGACCAGTATGCTAAGGTTGATCTTGTTTGTTAAAGACTCGAGACCAGGTTGTGAAGATCCAAGAGAATATCATAAACTCATCTAGCTCTAGGACTTCATGAGATCAAAAATCGAACAATGATCAGTCAAGATAAACTCAAAAGTGTAACTAGTCTTAAGGAATGTGGGTCCTTTTCAAAAGTTACATAATCCAACATATAACGGAAACAACGTGCATAATCCAACGTATAACGGAAACAACGTGTAAATATGAGTCAACGTGGACGATTCACACACGGCGTTATCTAGGATTTAGCTTTAAATATGTCTCTACCAATCATTTGTTTCCTAACACATTTTTTACTTATTGCATGTTTCCGGTGTTTTGTAACTGAACACTCTCAAGCTCATTCAATATTTGATTTTCTGAAGACATTATCAGAAAGTCACGTCAGAAAACAAGCTAAATCAAATATGATTCATTATTTTCATACGTACTTTCATATGTTTTACTATTTTCTTCAATTGCTTTTATCTTTTACATATTTTAAAAGAAAATATTAGATAAAGCTATTTTATTCTTATTTATATGAGCGAGACAACATGGACGTAAACGGAGTATGTCTTAACATAATACTAATCTCTTTTCATTAAATATTTACTATATATATGTGTGTGTTATTACCTCCTAATTAAAGTGTTCATTTTCAAAAATAATTATATCAAAGGTAAAATGAAAAAAAATAATCTTTTATTTATTAAATAATTTTCTTTTTTAGAACAAATATTTTTAAAAATTACAACATATATGTTGAAACAAAGCAAATAATTACAAAAATAAGAGTGATAAACAAATCAACAATAGAGTGACAAACTGACAATGGTTTGTAACAAAATTGAAAATAACGCAACCGGTAATTTCGCTATTATTGAGCCGTAATATGTTTAGTCATTTGACGACTAGTTAGAAAATATATTATTCTTCATATATATAATGAATATCAATTTTAGTTTGCAATTTAAAAATTTATATAATTAATATGTACTATAAATTATGAAAAAATTGATGTATTATATTATGCAGAGCTGATTAAATTAAGCATATATTAAAAATATAATTGTTATATAAATTTCTAAATTATAAAGATATATATAGCTTATTTTCTTAACTAATACGAATAACTTATTTAAAAATTAATTAAATCGGTCCTGCTAGCTACCAAATAGTTTGACCTTTTCTTTTTCGTTTAAAAACCGACGCAAAAAAGAATCCGATTGTATTTAGAATTCTCTACCTAAACCGGTCCCCAACTTCCGATCAGTTATCTATAATTAATAATAGGGATTAGCTGAAGTCAGGGCTTTTGATGATTGATTGGAAGATGAGATCTGTTGAATCCATAGTGGCGGAGCTATCACCGTCTTCTTCCGCAACAGCCGTGGTCGGAGCAGGAGGAGATGGCGGCGGTGGCGGCGGCGGTTGGTTCGTGGAGTGCCACGGTTTATGGCATAATGTGTTGATGATAGTTCCGTCAGTACTATTTGTTCTATATTTGGCTTCCCAAGCCAAGAGAAGCTTCTCGAAGGTTTCTAATGGTCGATCGCATGTAGTAGCTGTTCTCTATGCCATTCTCTGGCTTGTTAGCATCTTCAATTTGGCCTGGTGTTCTCTTCAGGTATCTATTTGTTATCCTGTTAAGTGTTAATTATTACTAACTTTATATAATCTTTGGTTCTGATATCTGTTCTTCCTGTAATAATGTTCATACATCTTGAAATTAGCACAAATGAATATAATGAAAAAGAAAATATAGAACTTTCTAAGGTACTACGTCCGCCAAGGGATTGGTCTTACTTTTCTCTGATAAAGTTGCAGCGAAGCAATGTTCCATCAAAAACAATTAGTACAATCGCCATTTACTATTACTCATAATGGAATTTTTATTTCTAGCTATAATTAGGGGTTAGTGAGTTGTTTCTAGCTATGTACATAAACATGTGATTGATCCTTCTTGAAATGTGCCAATGACCATCCTTACTTGCTAACTGTCAGAGAAGGATATTACAGCTTTTGCTGGACTTATTTATGGCAACCTCCTTTGTCAATATGTCTGTTCCTGCTTCCTTCAACTTGGAAAAACACAACTCTTATATAGAGGTGTTTCCTGTGGAATAATAAAACAAAAACGTAGAAACAAAAGAAAAGTTAGTAAATCCTGCTTATGACATGGTCATGTAGAATTATTTTACTGCAACCTCCTATTATGTGTGGTATTGAGTATTGACAAATTTTTGAGTTGTTTTTGGTCCCTAATGCATTAAATGCTTCCCTTTATGGGCTTGACCATGTAAAAGAGCTTCTTTCTTGCTTTCTTAAAGCTTCTATTTTATGTTCTAAAAACATGTTTCTTTTGGTTCTCACGAAGAGGATATCTCCATTTAAATACACTATGTATCATATCAATTTTGTATTGATGCTTCCAGCTGTCCAATTTGTAGTGGTTGGTGCACATTTGCCTAAAGATCTACCTGTAATTAAGCTAAATTGATTTATCTGTCTATCATTATCTTCTTTAACCCACTTTTCGCACAGGCATGGGAGTGTGCTCCAGGGAAACAATTCATGTGGAGTGTCATCTCCTTGTTCACAACATCTGGCATGCTATTTCTCGAAGTAAGCTTGATAGCCTTTCTACTTCAAGGGAACCACGCTAGTGGACGTGAGGCGCTAACACAGACTTTCCTAATCTCAGCAATTGTAGTAGGTTTAGATATATCTCTAAAGGTGCGATCCTGTTCTGTTTAATCACCAAACTTTCACTTCTTTGTTGCTTAACGCTGCTGTTACCATGTTTATGCAATAGCTTAAAGCCAAGTTCATATGGCTTAGAGGCACATAGTTTTTCTGCTAGGATAATGTAAGAAGGAGAAGAAAAAGAGGATTAAATGTTCATTTTCTTATTATGTTATGAGGAAAAGGGACGTGTCCAGTGTGGGAAAATAGAAAAGTTGCTTGGGAAAGGGAAGAGTGGACACAGAAAGCGATGTGTCCAATGTTGATGATACAGGAATATTGAATGGAAAGGGAAGAGGGAACCGGTAAGCACTACGAAGGAGAACCATATACTGTTTTGAACTATCTAGTGAGCCACTTTACACCAAAAGTACAGATTTTGAAAACATCTATCGTAATGATAGAAATGTGAGTTCTCTGCCCTCCAAAGCAAGTCTTGTTCTGCTCCAGCCATATTATCCATAAGATGCACAATGGAATAGTTCTCTATGTGTGCTTTATCTCTTTTGGTATCACCTGTTGCTGCCAACCTTCCATTATACCTTTCACATTCTGAGACATCACCCATGTTATACCACAAAGGTTTTGGAATAACTCCCAACATTCTCTAGAAAATCTTCAATGGAGAAATAGGTGCTAAATTGTTTACTGATCATCTTGATACAGGTAGCATCTACGTCATAGGTCAAAACCTCTCTTCTGCAAGTTATTTTGAGTTGAGCATGCCCCCCATGTTGCAGCCCATTCAAAACATGCTACTTTAACTGGAAAATCTGGAGCGCCACCCATGTAATACCACAAAGGCTTAGGAATAACTCCAAACATTCTCTAGAATCTGCAATGGAGATAGGTGCTATATTATTTCCTGATCTTCCTGGCACATGTAGACTCATCTATTTCATAGGTCAAAACCTCTCTTCTGCAAGTTACTTTAATTAAGCATGCCCCCCATTTGGAAGCTAATTAGTTGGCATGGACATCACGATTATAAAAATATTTCAAAAATAAAATGTCATGTGGCTCAATAGTGAAATTCAAACTATCCTCATTAGACTATGTTAGAAAATGCCATTCACCGAATGAAAGTCGTGGAACTTCTTATATAACTGAAAAGGTTATGTAGACTTAAGTAGTCACTTGTCAATACAACTTAATCTCTTCTTTAATCGTAATATCAACTTGTAATGTCGTGGTGTGCCAGAGTTGAATGTACATTTGCAGTCTAAGTAGGAGGAGTTCAAGTTGCAATTTGGATCTGAAGATAGTCAAACAAGGATAAAGAAAAAAAGTCACCCAATCATGAGCGAGATTTAACTTGAGGAGGATAAAGAAAAAAGTCACCCATTGTCCCCTTTCTTGTTTTTAATTACTATGGAGGGGATGAATAATATGCTCAAGACAACAAATATGAGAGAATGGGTAAAAGGTTTTGATGTGGCTAGAGAAAATACAGAAAGCTTGGAGGTGACACATCTTCAGTATGCAGATGATACACTGATTTTTTGTGGAGTTGAGGAAGACCAACTAAAATACTTAAGGGTGATCCTGGTGCTGTTTGAAGGGGTATCCGGGTTGCACATTAACTGGATTAAAAGTTCTACGTATACTATCAATGAGGTCAACAACATAGACTTGTTAGCTTCAATTCTAGGGGGTGAAGTAGGTACTCTACCTACAACATATTTGGGTATGCCATTGGGAGCAAAATCCAAGTCCTTAGAAATTTGGAATGGTGTGATAGAGAAGTGTGAGAAGAAGCTGGCCAGATGGAAAACTCAGTACTTTGTCAAGAGGGGGTAGACTGACCCTCATTTACTCAGTCCTGGATGCTCTCCCAACTTACATGCTGTCTTTATTTTCCATCCCACCAGGGATCACTAAAAGACTAGACAGCATAAGAAGGAAGTTCTTGTGGCAAGGAAACAAAGAGAATAGAGGCTTTCATCTAGTTAAATAGAATGCAGTGACAACTGGAAAGAAGAATGGTGGTCTGGGAATAAAGAATATGGAGCTACATGGCAAAGCACTCTTAATGAAGTGGTTGTGGAAATACTCAAATGAAAACCAAACACTTCGGAGAAGAGCGATAAGTGCCAAATATGAGAATGAAGATAGTTGGATGACTAAGATTGTGACCACACCTTATGGGATCAGTTTATGGAGATCCATAAGAGCATTATGGGAGGAAGTTAAACCCAAATTCAAGATGAAAGTGGGGAATGGGAACAAGATCAAATTCTGGAAGGATGAATGGCATGAGAAAGGTAACCTGGAAACTCTTTTCCCTGATATTTACAATCTGGCAATGTTCCAACAAAGAACTATTGCAGAACTATGGACACCACAAGGGTGGAATTTCATCTTCAGGAGAGAACCAAATGACTGGGAAGTGATGAGGTTGGCAGAATTCCTCAACTTGGTTGGACATTTTACTGGACTTCAGGCATATGAGGATATGCTTTGGTGGAAAGGCAACAATAGAGGAGAGTTCAAAGTGCATTCAGCTTACAGGCTGATGGATGAATCAAGCCAGCAGAGTCCCATCTGGCCTTGGAAACAAGTATGGAAGTGTAGAATCCCACACAAAGTCTCATGCTTTATTTGGCTGCTAGCTAAGGAAGCTGCCCTGACTCAGGATAATGTAATGAAAAGGGGGATAACCTTATGCTCTAGGTGTTTCCTATGTGGGGAAACCTTAGAAACTGTAAACCATCTATTTCTACACTGCAAATACACTCAGCAGCTTTGGAGGATTTTCTTGAGCCTTAAAGGCATATCCTGGACTATGCCTAGGAGAGTTACTGAGGCCTTGTACAGCTGGGAGGAGGCAGGTGCCCTTGCAAAAGACAGAACTAGATGGAGAATTATCCCTGCTTCAATATGGTGGGCAATCTGGAAAGAAAGGAATTCCAGATGTTTTGAAGGCATAGAAAATAGTGTGCAGGATGTTAAACTAAACTGCATTTTGTTATTATGTCTTTGGTGTAATCAATTATACTCAAATGACACTGCCTCTATAGTTGATGTTTTAGACTCAATATAGAAATAGAGTAGGAGTGTCTAGAGTGCATCTGTATATAAGGTTTGAGTACAACCCATGTACTTTATGATATAATACATCGTTACCATTTTCAAAAAAAAAAAGATATTCAATTTGAAGACGGTGTATGTATAAATGAGAACAAGCAGAAATATACTTAAGTAACATATATTCATGCTTTCTTATTAGTTGCATGAAAATATACTTTATTATCTGCATCTATATTTGTCAGCAGATGCAATGTTGTGCATCATAATGTGCTCAAGTAAAACCTTGTTCCTTCTCTGAACAAATCTATGTAGCTTTTCCTGCTGTGGGCTTGATAGATTTCTCTAGATCACCTCATTTAAAAGTTTAAGTAGTCTGAGGGGAGAAATTTTTATTTATGTAATTATGTCTTAACACGCCCAGTGACATGTGGGCCTTATTTTTTATTTTATTTGGGTAATCTGTGGAAACACCTTTGTTTCTTTACGTTTGGTGGTGGTGAGTTCTGAAACCAGAATTTTTATATGCTTTGGTACCATGTTCACGATCACCTCATACGAAAGCTTAAATTGGTAGAGGGGAGGCATTATAATGATTAATTTTGTTGTAACAGCTCTTAAAAAAAGAGGAGGTATCTGGCACAAAATGAGGTTGAAAGTCGGAAGTTTCTGTGGCATGTCATGTTGCTGGTTATATCCTCTTTGAATTTTTAGATGAATGACCTAGTTCCCAATTATTTCAGTTGCTTTTGAATTGTTTATGTCCTATGAGGATCAGGGACTCATGTCAGCATTCAGCACCTCTGTCATGCTTCTTATGTGTCTCATCCTTACTACGAGTCGTACGCCTTATTTTTGTGAATTATATCATACTAGAGGTATTGATGCGTGCTATTCATTCTCCCAGGGGATCTACCTATTTGGATTTGGTATTCAGTTGTTTGATGTTAGCAACAATGGCTCACAATGGGCCTTGTGGGTTATTCACAAGTTGCTGCTGACTGGAGTATATGGCCTCATCTTTTTTATGTATCGATCTACATGGAGAGAAAGGTTGCCAGGTGAGTTTCATCTCATGAATTTATGTTGGGTCTATTATGAACTTATACTATTGTATCCTTACTATTAGTATCTTTCTCTCGTTGCAGCAAGACCTGCATTCCAGAACTATATTTCCATCATGTTTTGCGTTAATGCAACTGCCTTGCTTGCATGTGCACTTGCAGCACATGGGACTGGATTTGGAATATGGTATGCCGTCTTTAATGACTTCAGATGATGTTCTTTCTTATCCACTGTGATTATTAAGGGCATTCATATTTTAATACTGGAACTAATGATAGTATGAGTTCAGAAATTGGGATATCACACCCTTCGGGGTGGCCCAGTGGTTTGGGCTTGGGACTTCCATGTCAGAGGTCTCAAGTTTGAAACCCCTTGCCAGCGAAAGCAAGGGGTTTGCCTTCTGGGTCGAGCTCGTCGCACTGGGCTTGCCTAGTGCGGGTTACCTCTCCTACGTGATTTGCGAGCTATTGCATAGGAGCGAGGGTTTTACGCGGTGCGCACCCAAAGGGTAGCGACTGCAGATTTCCCTTGTCATAAGAAAAAAAAAAATGGGATATCACATGCAATTTTGACAAGTACAAGTAAACTGGGAGGGGGGGGGGGGGGTA